TGGAGTCCACGTTAAAATTCGCTTGAAGGATCTGAAGCTGCTCTTCTGTAAATGTGGTCCGTACTCGTTTTGTTTTGTTGCATTTTATGATTCCCCCACTCGATGGAGAGTCTTCGCTGTCTGCGTCTAAGAATAAACAAATCGTTCGTTACTCAGATCGTTCAACAACAGACAAAGCAAGGAGTGAGGTTCACTTATACAGCAAGCCTGTGAGCAAGCTCTCCTTGTTAAGTGGCAAGCGAAGCGAACCTAACCAGGAGATAACGCGCGTGTCTCACTCCACGTGCTCATCACGCGAGCTTGCTCGCAGGCTACCATAAACCAAATGGGATGATATTCGAACAAAATCTCAAAAAGTGTCATATGTTTTTAAGAAACAGACGTTTCGGGCGTATAACCCTTCTTGAGTGTTCAGAAAAATTCATTGTGTCTTAAAAACATTTGACACTTTTTTATATTTTGTTGGAGTATCTTCCTATCAGCTGTCTAACTCAGTACAAGGGTCACGCATCCTTAACGGTTTTTCCGTTCACCATTCACTTAACATACAGCAAGTCTCCAAACTTAGGAAAACATGATTGAACCTATAAAATTACAGTCGAACCTCAGTAATACAGATCACTGAGAGAGAATACACTGCAGGAGCATCCAGATTAAACAGACTGGCGATGAACGGACTGAAGAGCGCTTACATTCAGTCGTTTGATTAGAAATTCCTTGAGACATTTTTCAGTATCAAGGAACAATTTCTGTTGGTCAGTAATGCCTACATCATTGTTTTCAAAATCTTCCAAGAGCACTTGCGCGCTAGCCAGACAACTTTTACGTGAGAAAAAAGGTCGTAATCAATCACCTTGTAGCGTGTCTTCAATCCCTCCATCATTTTGAGTGCAGAAAGAAAGGGCAACTAAGGAAGAGGACATAAAGAAGGACTATCAACCATACAATCACCATGTTTATAGCCGCGGGCCTGATCAGGCCCTTGCACTCCTAGAGTCCATTTATGGTTCTAATGTTTGAGTCTGTGGATGAAATCCCATAATACCTTTCAAATCAAACTTCTTCAGCAACACTTTCAACACCCTGTGAACAGAGCCTCCTATTGCTGGGAGGCTCTACCTGAATCGCGTCAAACCTTTGAGGCCGCCGCATCCCAAACTTCTAGACAGTTTACAGTTGTTTCGCCCACCAGTCGTTTCGCCAACGTCCTCTTCGCTAACTTCTGAAGTCGTTTCGTGTAAGTGTTGGGTCAGTTCCCAAACTGCTTTCGCCTGATGAGTGGCTGAAATAACGAGATATATACATGCGTGTTGCACGTATTTGTATCACCATTGCTGAGAGAACGAGGTCTATACATGCGCAGCGCTCGTTTCGCTTCGTTAAGACGTTAGCGAATGGGACGTTAGCGAAACGATTCGTGGGCGAAACGACCGTTCACCCCAAAATCGAGCAAGCGAAAGAAAGGCTCTGCTGGCAGAGTACACTTTCAAATGACACTTCTTATTTAGAATTGAGTTTAACGTTTGTGACTGTGGACGAAACCCGAACGAATTGCGTCGACTCAACTGAAGAAAACTCACCAAGCAGAGCTGTTCACTATAGCGATGTGGTAGACAAGGAAGTTCTAACTTTCATGCGAGTAGCCGCAAAGTTTGACCATTCTAGTAAAAGCCTTGAGTGGTACTTTCTTGTGGTACTATTGACTACTTTCTCGTGCTGTTTTTGACGTCGATCAAGGCGGTTCTAACTTCCGATGCCATTATGGTGCATCTTAAAATCGTGAAAACTCAAATGAAGCCACCTATTAGTACTTTCCTGCTAGACATTTTTTTCATGATGCTCTGCAAGGTGGTTCTAACATTTGCGCGACTTACAGTGAATTAAATCATATAAGGTCAAACAACTCATTCCTTATTTTGCATTAAAAAAATGCAGGACTCTTTAATCTTTTTAACACCTAATTAATTTTATGTAGTTTAGGATTCAGGTCTGTTAAAAGAAAAAAAAAAACCGTCGCACAAGATTGTCCTTTTGAGTGGCTTTCTCAATACTAAGTAGTGCACGCGCGCCAACCTACGTCATTTTTGCGGGGAAAATGTAGTAGCTGCCGTCAGTCTACTACGAGTTTTAGCGAGAATGTCGTAGTGGCGAAAACAAGTTATCAAATGTTAGAAAATTTATCATTTAGTGATCGGGGGAGGGCTCAATCTCCTTCAACGGAAATAAGCGTGCTAACTTTGGTGGTGAAAAAAAGTACAATGCGGCTTTCCGGAATTTCTATTTTAGAGAACAGGCGAGAAAGCTTAAAATTTAATGTCGCCCTGGTAGTCGTCCTCGAATCTAAAGATCTCTGACTAGTGAACAAGACATAAAATAGAACAGGGCTAGATAAAAATCCCATCTGATCGCTCTGGAAAAAAGGATTTTCCTGCCAGGAAAGAAACTTTTCCTGCTTTCTTGCCGATGGCCAAGGGATCAGGCAAGAAATCCAGTTTATACAAAATAGTCAAGCGATGGAAAACATGTGGCAAGTCGACAACTGCCTTGTTCTAGCAAATTTGAGCACACAGTACCGGAGGAGAAGCACTCCTTTTACATTTTAAGAATTTGTTCAGATTCCACTTTGTGCACCTTATTAATAATGAGCACCACAGGAAAACGCTGCTCAGCAACTTTTATTCGAATGGCCATTTGGCATACTCACTTTAGGATTTCGTTAAGGCACCGAGCTGGACTGAAACCCCTTGTGCCGCATAAAAATACAGCACCAAGTAAAAGTACTGTTTAGCAGCTTCACCTGTTTGGTTTCACTAGATTGGCACAACTTCGAACAAAAATTGATTGCGAATTACTCATGAAACATTCTCGGCCAGTATACAAGATAAGAATTGAAATCCTCCTACCTTCCTGAGAGGAGTTGTCGGGCAGGAACACCTCTAAACTCTCCATGTAGTGTAATTTACAGAGAACATGTCCTTCTTTAAGCGCAAACTCCTCACCAGTAGAAAGCTGGCGTTTACACGCGTCGCACGCGAAACACGCAAGGTGATACACACTGCTTCGCGCGCGTCGTACCCAGTCGTTCGCGTGGATGCTTCGAGCACATCGCGCACATTTAGTACCATACTGTCTGTGAGGAGATAAATAACAACATGGTTTATGTACTCTGATTTAGAAGCCACATGGCGGTGAACGGAGAGATGGCGCGTAAAACACGCTTTGTCACAGAAATAAAGAACGCCAGGCTCAATAATGGTAGAATCATGCATAAAGTGAGGGCGCTTACCATCTGTCAGAACTGGTCCGCCGGCCAGACCAGCCCATTCGTAAAGAAAATAACCATAACTCAGATCAGTAAATACCATGTACAGCGCAGATGGTTTTTGGCGAAAACTCTCCGAAAGCCTATCTTATTTTCAAGGTGACCGGTCTGACTACCTTGTTCTGACTTTTGGTAATTGCCTCTGAAGATCGCTACTTAACAGAAACAGACAAAGACCAAAAAAAAGCACAAACAACACTCGCTTAAAAAAGGAATACAAGATCCCTCAGCGCACTTGCATATAATTTCTATAACATCTAAACGAAAAAAAAAGCTCCGTCAAAACACCAAGAAAAAAGCTCTTGAGAACTTGCCTCAAGAACACAAGTGAATCAAGACACACGAAAGCGCATAATAACAGCTTGAACGCTGATAACTTACGAAGAAAAGCGCGTTATTAAACGGAAGATTTGCGTAAATATACTATCAAAATTAAACGCAATTACCAAAAGTGACAAAAACAAATTCATAGACACTATTCGATCGCCAGGGACGACAGATTACCGTTAAAACCACTTCGGTTAGATTCATCACTTTTTTCTCCGTAAGTAGAATACATCGAGCGAAGTTTGACCAAATCAAACTCACTCATAAAAAAAAACAGAAGATGCAAGTGCTTTGGCGGTAAACACTTCTATTTAACATTCAGTGCCGGCTTAGGTCACTTTTCGAAGAAGTTAAGCTACCGAATTTCAATTATATATTTTTTGTTATTGTTTTATTATTATCATTATTTTTTCAATATCCTACCCCGGCATACTAACTGGAAAATCTGCACGTAAAATTAAGAGGAAATTGTACGAATAAAAAGGAAAATAAAATTTTCTTCTACGGAATGGCGGCTGAAAGTTTTTTTCCCATATTGAGACAATTATAAGTAAGCAAAATGTTATACGAGATTGTCTAGATGACTTTTAATTCTGAATAAATATTCGTTGCGATAATGGGACCTCATTTTGTACTTCCAGTAAATAAAATATCCGCTCTTCATTTTCATTCATTTGAGTTTAAAATCATACGGAAATTTTTTTCAAGGGAAGCTTACTATTTTCCTATATATTGCAACTGGTAAATCGCCCATTTTTGGACACAATGCTACCCATAAATTTGCTGGCTAGGCGACAAAAATAATTTACCAGTTTGCATTTTAAACACAGTTCGCTATGTTTACATTCACACGTCCAAGACAGGTGGCTTTCTACGTCGCCACCTTTCTTGTCTATGCCAGGAAATTCAAAGATCGCAAAGTTGAAATTAAACAACACTAACTAAAAATTTTGGCTAAGAAATACCGCAATTGATGTACAGGAAACAGGAAAATAAAGACAATAAAAAGAAGGGCGCACAGACGAAAAAAAAAAAAACAATTACAACTTTATCGTCCTTGGTGAAAGCCATAAAATGGATCAGAGATATTCACAAATGCAGTCACTCTGTCTCTATTGATGGTCGCTCTGTCCACAACAGAAAGGAAGCTTCGATCCGCGCATTCTGACTCGCAAATCGCATGGTACTTTTTTCTGACGCCTATATGAAACTCCAAAGTGAACTAAAATGTCTGAGGAATGACATATAGGAAAACAGGCTTAGTTTTCTGTTTGGCAACTCAAAAGCACACTTAAAAAACTGATATTGTTAGGGATGGCGTGTCAAAGGATTAACGTTTTAGCTGTTGACTGCATAAAAAATAGCTTTTGTGGTATAGTTAACACAATCTGCCCCATATTCAGTCCTCTTGCCCGAAGCTTCGGTTTTTAAACCTCACAGCAAAAACCTTTGTTACGTTTCGGGCGTCTGATTGTTTAACGGTCAAGGAAGATCGAAACAAATGAACTACACCGTCTCACCTTGAAAATAAATACTCAAAGAAAGCAAATAATGATAAATAAAACACAATGAGATTATATATTTTCAAACTTCGACAGAGAGCTTGCTTACCGCACTAATTTTTCAAGTCGTGAGAGGGGAATTGAAGACATTTACTCTATAAAGCATCTCTATATTTTCAATGTAAAGAGAAAACTGGAATATGCTAATTTCAACAATCTCCAAGCATATACGGTTTAATGGTCTTTAATACCGTCCAGCATAAAATAGGTTGGTGAGACTAATTCTCACTCGCTTCCTAATGGAAACATCAGTATAACAAATAAAAAAAGGTTTGTAAACCTGCAAATTTCTGCTCAAGACACTAAATTTAAATGACTGTTTACCTTAACGTTGGAACGAGTTTGACCAAAAAAAATTTCAACGAAAGCCGGATATATTATCTATCGAACATGGTTAAAACACCACTACGAATAATTATGAGTCAGAATACAACCCCTAAATATCACTTCTATAAGTGAATGAAGCCTTCGCGCTTGTTTTGTGTATTCGAACGATAAAAAAGGTACGACGCCTTTCGTGATGTATAGTAGCGCCAAGCTGTCGTGTGAACTATATATCTCATACGGTAGCTAAAATCTTGCAAAGATCGCCTAACCATCCACGAAGCTAGAAGCATAATATATGATCATGCAAACAAACAAATAACTGAACAAACCTCGCGTAATCTGTTTTGCAGTAGATCTTGTCCTCCTTTGTGTAACATGTTGCTTCTTTCCCGAGTTCAAGACCACACATGCAACATTTAAGGCAACTGGTATGCCAGGTTTTACCGCTCACTTTTACTAAGTATCTGTCCATGATTCGACCTTTACAGCCTGCGCACTGCTCTCCGTGTGCCTAATAACAGAAAATCAAGGTTAAAATTGTATCAGCCACTATGAAATGCGTTTCATGTGGAGGCACATAATTAATCAGCTGGTTGTTACCCGTACGGAGTCTTTTCGCAAGATTCGCGCGCGAGGCGGCCATTGACTCTAGAGAACAACATTAACATAGTTAAATTGATTCAGAGAAAGGAAGCAAGGTTTTAATCAACTTCCTAGAGAACTTCATATTCATCTAAGAGATTTAAAAAATATGAGATCACACTTTTGTCCAAATTACTCCTTCATCCAGCAAACGTTTGCCTTTATCCATCAAGATAAACAAACAATTTCTCATCTAACAGGTTAGCGAGTACACAAAAAATTCTACCCAAACTACGTTACTGTAATAAGTTAGACCAAGGCACTGATCCAAAACGCGAATACTTACCGAGGACTGGTCACCAACTTCGCGAGTAAAAGTCGCCGTAGATTTTTCCTCGCAAGCAGTGGTCATCTGGCGAAATGAAAGCACAGTAAGCTCGGGCACAATGAGGTCGGGAAGAAGGTGATGGTATTTAACTCGGTTGTGGAGCTGACCAAACCACCCGCAAGACTCAAAATTGTTCGAAGTCTCGCAGGTTTCAAATAGGCCAATATAACATGACATAATAATAAGCGATCCCGGGCTGTGATTGGTCAAATGGATTAAGTGGGAGGAGCAGAGCTCCTCAGGGAAATCGATATAACATACAAAATGTTGCCTCCTTTTGTCTTCTATTGATCACTGGACGTTGCTTTTGAAATGGGCAAATATTGCTAAAGTGATGCACGTTTTACACACTCAGTCTTTGACTCGTCCCAAACATGGACGAAGAACGCTATGACACGAAAAGCAGATTTTAAGTTTTACTACTTGCTGGATATGTGTTCAGCTTCCGAACTATAAATTGATTCTCACTCAAGAAAATTTCACGCACATTTAAAGTTCTGTGTATTATTTTCAAATTGAAGTTGTGTTTGAATGTGTTGAAACCAGCCACAGCGATCAATGCATTAGTTGCGTTGTTTTTTAATCACAACACGCACTTTCAAAGCGTTTTGTCTCTTGAGGGAAAAACGGGCCAAGTTAAAAATATCGAGCTGAACCAACAGCAAAAATTTAAGACGCCCACAAAAATCGCCGCTACAAAAATTGCAAAATCTATGCTTTTGAGGAAATTAACAACTGAAATCATACATAAAAGTTCGTTTTCTTTTTCTTCACAAAAACGGAAGAAAAATTGTCAAACGGTAAACACGACTTTCCGCACTCGGTTTTGGCTCAAACTTTCAAACCCGGGAGGTAGTTCATAAAATATGTTTAGGACAGGCTGCATGAGATTGCCGAAAATCCAAACTTTTACCAAAGCTTTATTATACAATAAGTCGCCTTTACTTTCTGTATCTCAAGCACATTACATTACCAAGAAAACGTTAAAAATGACAATATGCCTAGTAAAGAAAACAGAAACAAGCATTTATTCGTTGACAAGCATTTCGCAAATCCTTTTTTCTCGTGAATTTATATTGTCGCGAAAACCTGTTCTCCTTTTCGAGGAAGCCAGTGTTGTCATCGGATGAAATACTGCTAGGGTAATATAAAGAAATAAGAATCCTTGTCAAGAACGGAAGGTTAAGTCTTTCGTTAATATTTCTTACACTTTTGTTATCGCTTGTTTTAGTGCACTTAACTTTTGTTGTGCTGAAGCAACCATTTCTGGTATTTTGAAACAACAGGCAGAAATAAAGGGTGTTCAGTGCAATTTGCATTTTCCTGTACCCAACAGCTCTCAAAACAAAAGCGATGAATCGCTGGAATTTTCTGGGAGGTAAATAAAAGGCGTGGGTCACGAGCATTTGCTAAAAATATTTCAAGTTTTCAGTTAAATGGCGTTACTACAGTTTACATTTGCGATTAAACAACAGAAATTTGAAAACGCAAACAAGGCGAACTCGATTTTCGATTAACTCATGTGGATGAGACAAACTGATTCGCTTACATTATAACTATCGTTTTATACCAAAGGTGTGTTAACGTTTTCCGCTCTGTTTTAAGAATTAAGCTGTCAGTGTTTTTCTGTTTTGGAGATTCACTTTCTAAGAAGGTACAGTAAGTCTTCAAACGTATAAAGATGGTGTCAATTGAGTCGTAATATGTTTCGCCACCGGAAATAACGGTATTTAATGCGCTGTTTTAGTTTCTGGACAATTGTTAGAACTGAAAGGTTTAGGCTGATGAATTATTGATTAGATCAGGACACTGAAACGTACTTTAAATTAAAATAATGATCACATATGCGCTAGGAGGTGAGAATAAATTGTCCAAACTCGCAGGAAACAGTGACAATACACAAAAACGTCACCAGAAGTTTGAAAACATTAACTCTACAACGAGTCTATACAAATTCAAATCTGGACAAATATAAAACTGCATTTCAAAATACATAGAGATCATTATAGTAATTTTAACAAGGTACGCTAAATTACTCACAGCATTTACCAAAAGGCTTTTCTAATGTAAACTGAATAATTCGAGAAAGAGGTCTGTGTTTGGATGATTCTTAAAAGGCCCTGAAACGCGGATTACGGACAATATCGAAAGTTTGAAAGAAAATTCTAGTAGGGCCAAAAAGTTTTTTTTTTTTCTCAATTAATATAATACAGCCAATCATATAGCAATGTAAAACATTATTGCGATATATAAATAGCACTTCATATCAAGATAGATTTTAATAGCGATTGAAAAAAGATGGCTAACTTACATATAAAGGCAGAGAAGGGTTAAGTTTCAAATATGAAAAAAGAAAATGAGAGGAGAATATGCTAGATAACATTTCTTTGTTTCAAGATGCTACATTAGAGGGAGAAAAAACTACCAAGACTTTAGCACAGATGGGAGACTGAGCATTTTCATTCTGAGGAATTAAAAAAGCGAGTTTTAATTTCATTAAAACGATTTTTACTAATTCCCTGACGTGGGGTATAGACGTTTTGTTTTTTAAGGCCGAGGAGGAAATGTGAACCAAAGCCTCTACAAGACAGGTTGAAAAACAAATAAAACGGATCGCAATCTAAAGCTATATTGGAAACGTCGAAAAAGCGACCTTTAAAGGATCTTTTGTTTTTCTTTCCAGCAAGATCATTTTACAAACAAGACAAATGATGTTAATTTAAACCTATTCAAGACAATTTCTCGCTTCGCACGTGCAAACTGTAAAAGCGGGCAGGTGGATTTCAAGGCGATAGGAGAGGTCATCTAGCTCAAGTCGAATTATCTGTCATTTATAGATCTGTTTTATTCCCTTCCCATTGACTATTGACATCAAAAAGCTCTTATTCAATACAATCATAATATAAAGCGAAAGATATCTTAAGCGGTCCACACCAAAGCAAAATATAAATCAAGTCTGGCAGAGAATGAAGTATTCAGTCATCTGTCTAGCATTAAAATGCTGGGACAAACACTGTCGAGATTTTCATGAATTATGAAAACAAATTTTCTTCTTAATGTAGTTGGGAATTAGAAGGCTATGTTAACAAATAAGTCTGACGCAACAGTTTCCATTAGAGAAGTGTCCGATATTTGACGAAATAAAATTTCCGTTATATTCAAATGCACCCTTTCGTAATAATGACCGAGCAGCAAAAACATGGAATTTCGAAATTCATAAAGAAGGCCAAATGGTCGCATACAAGATGTCGAAAACAATTTCAAAAGCATTCTTGAAGTTGTTTCACAACGAAAGTTCACCGTTAAAGAACAGCTTAGAAGAGGTAACATAAAACAATTATTGGGCCGCGTGCCACGGAAACAATTTATACGATAACTAGAATTCTTCCACAAAAAATGTTTCAAGTTAACAGTACAGAAAATGCAGACCATAAATGACTTGTTAGGCACTGTCTTAAATTATCCATCTGCCAAGTTTGTAAGAAAAACTGTCATGTAAAAATAACAAGACTAAAAAACAAGCACGAAAACCAGGAGATACAACGGATGTTGCAGCATGCGCTCGCTAAGGTCATTGTTACACGTTAAAAAATCTGCGATGTAACCTTCACCCGGGATTTTTTTCAGCGTTGTTTGAAATTGTTCCATTGAAGTAAAACATTTAGGGAATTAATGTTACCTTGCAAGGTTTCATGCTTCCATAGTCTTCCTTTATAAAGAGCAACGCCATCGCTACGTAAACTCCGTGCTGCCAAAGCAGTCGTAAGCTATGCTAATTATAATTGACCTGGTACGAGCAGTCTATGAAATAAAACACAATGATGTGCCACAGTACTTCAAAAAACGGCGGCTGTGTCTGATCAACTCAGAGAAGCGAATCGACGCGACGCCGCCTCAAATGAAGAATTAGAAAAAAAAAAGAAAAGAAGAAACCGACGATCTGCTACAAAGGCTTCCCGCTGGTCGCTACTCACCTGCGAAAAGTGGTAAATGTTTCGACACGTTTACCCAATGCGGAGATAATCTCCTAACCTAAAAAACAAAACTGCTGAACGGCTGAACTTTCGCTTGAACTTGACTGAACAAGGACAAGTAGTTCGTTGATATATTCATGAATTGCGATTCAAATTGTTAATTTTTGAAAAGAAAAGGAGGCTGCCTGTTCCGACTCGAAGTGGCGGTATTAATGAAAAGGCAAAAAAAGGACAGAAAAAGAACCGAGCAAAAAAAAAAAAAATGGGCGCAGTTTTACAATGTACAGCTAATATCTTTCAGAAATCTTTTCGCCAACATCGAAAAGGCACTCACAGGTAAATGGATTTCCAAATTTTTTTCGGCAAAAATTTAGAGGGGAAAAATAAATTCTTCCTAAAAATGCAACAAGACCACACGCAAGCGCACGCGTGTTCATCGCGCGTGCTGGTTCTCGCGCGGCAAACACACCATCCTCACGAAGAGGATGAAAACGTATCCGTTCACGATTTTCTTAAGTACGTGTTTTCGTTTCCCTATCAACGGATCATAGAAACAAGTAAATTTGGTATTATCAAAATCAGAAAAAATTGGGAATTTTCTACCACTTTAAGAACATGACTTTGCGAATCTTCGACATCCTCGTTTTCGTCTGGGCAACAGAGCTTCTGTTTGGATCGCCGCGACTATCAGCATATTTTCTTCAGTCTTGTCTTCGGTAACTTTCAGCACTTAGCGGTCTCTTTTTCGGTATCTTTTGGCATGTTTTGGCGGGACGCGACACGCGGCACGCCGCCGCTGTCCACAGTACTGCGTTTTCGAACAAATCCGGAAGCTCACGAGTCATATTGAAGTCATAGGCTCTGACAGCTCTCAGGACAGCTCTGAATACCTCCATTTTTCTAAACACATCACATCTTTCGCGCTCGCTCTTTCCTTTCACAAGGGTTCACCAGTCAGTCAGTGAGTCAGTCAGACGCTCTGACCAGACTAGTTCGTTCCATTGTGCTCCTGACAAGAATGCAGGGCGGTGACCGTAGCCTACGCAACTGGCTTCGCCGCCAAAAACCTCCCTCGCGAGGACGAACAATTCCGCCAGCTTCGCAGGCTTCGGTGACTGGTTTCACAGGACCCACACTTTTAGCGAAATTTCTCAAAAACGCCATTATCAAAATAATAACCCGACCGACCAGATCTAACCATTGGAAATCAACCGCCTTACACTCCAGCCTGTTTCTAAGAAATGCCGTCCTCGCTCCCTGGAAGATTAGAAAAAGTGATCTGAAATTCCACCGATCACTACTTGAAGAATCAAAACAAAAATTTTTGCTTTTCCATTTTATGTTTTAAGAAAACTAATTCAAAATGAATTTCCATTTACTCTCCATTCGAGCTACCGAATTTTCGATTGAAAACTCAATGGTGCGGCTGATTTCAAAGTTATGACTTTTCTTTGCCCTCAAAAGTTCCCATAACCGCTACAGCTGACGATGTCCCCAGATCACAGCCTAAAACGGTTTTACCTGGGGGAAGGGGTTAATCTGGATTTTAAGAGATGGAAACGATCGAATAAGGGCAAAAAAATCACAACCCAGAAAGTACCTGAAATAAATATTTGCCAAATTTTCCAACCCCACACGATCCTGCAATCAAGAATTTGCAACCCCCACAAAAATGCTTTGATTTTCCCTTCCCTTGAAATCCACAGTACCCCCTATCCCCCCACATAATCAAACCCGGGTTAGTTATGTCTGCTAAGCTACACCAAGATCCTTGTTCAGAGCCCCCTACCAGGGAATCAAAAAATTACTGGAAGTGGGTTTTGAATTTCCTTTCCAGCTGATTGGCAAATCAACAATGGCTTCTTTAACAGGCCAATCATGATGCTTACTCAGATCCTGGTACACTGGTGGGGGCGTAGAACAAGGACTCTGAGTCTTTTTCACAGACCTTACAAACTGGGGTTTGATTACATCTGCAGAGCAGGCTACCTCCGAGCAGACTCTGACAAAATCATTTGCAACAGCACAATTAATTCTTACTGGCGGAATCAAACTTTACACTTTACGTTGCTACCTCAGAGGTTTGAATAAGTACTTTAACGTGCCTTGGGATTTTCAACAGCTCAGTTAAATGTTGGCCGCACTGTTAGTGAGTATTTTCATTACACTTATTCATCATGCGATAGGGCAAAAAAATTTTCAAATAAAAATAAGCTCTTCAGAAACTAAAAATTGTTTCTATGAAATCTTGAAGCCATCCAGTTTTAAAATCTAGTTAGAACCTCTTCAGATTGTGCTAATTGATAAAGTCCACCCTAGGCGGTATTGGCAACAAAATTAGTTGAGACACTTTGCTCCAAATGGCCTTTCTGATATTTTACCATTGTCGAAAAGGCAAAATGGAGCCCCCCCCCATCCTTCATGCAATGTTATGCCTCATGTTTGATTATTATCAAACAAAAATATAAAGAACCTCTGTTTTCCTTTAAAAAATCAAGTTCAAACTTCTCAAAAGTGAACAAATAAGCATTTCCAAACTTTTCGTCAGCCATCTTAATGGTACTTGTGATTTTCTTTGTAATCTGTTTACTTATTATTTTCTCACTTAGGAGTCTGTCTTTGCTAAACCAGATGTTTCTTGTGTAATCAATAAAAACATAAACAATCTGATTGAAAATGATTGTTGGACTATTTTACATCCCAGGGACTCAGATCAATGTTGATAAAAAAATAAGCTGGTTGGTGTAACTGTAGGCAGGTCTGTAAACATTCCCACCATCTGCAGAATTGTCAAAAGTAGCCGGCTGTTGGGAAAAATCCCGCCTTCTTGGTTAAAGTATTGGCTGACTACCCTGCTTGGCATTTCTTTATGGATGGCATTTTTTAAATAAAATATCCCTGGACTGGCCCCTTAGTTTGACAACTTGACCATCTACTCCAAAACTTTCTGAAAACCCTGATCTGCTGGAGACGTTTTGTGAGAGAGACGTAAGATGCAAAGAGATGTGAGCAGAATCAAAAAAACAGAGAGGGGGTGGGGTAGGGGGTGAGAGCGAGGGAATGCCTGTAGTACTTTTTTAATACAAGCTCGTTCCGGTACACCCAACAGCAGCTAGCATATGATCTGCTGAGTGAATACCACCGGCAGAGAAAGTGGAACGGGTGTTGCTTGCCAGTTCTTCCATTTTTAGAGGTAAGGGATATATTCGTTAGCTGAAAACAAATATAAAAGATTTTTTTTCTGAATACATACATATTTTTTCAGAAATAATTCAGTTAACAGCAAGGTTCGTCGCCCGTTGCTTGATTGACAACTTTTTCCCTCCTCTCTCCCCCTCCCTCTCTTCCTCCTTATTTTTTCTCGCTCTCTTTCTTCGTGCCACACTCCACTATCCAAATGCCTGGCACATGCTAGAGAGACATGTTCATCAATAATAATGATGTAAATCTGTCCAGAGTTAAATGTTATCTCTGGTTTTTGCTGCAATTCGGTGTAGTTAATCAAATTATAACCATTAACTTATGAACCCTTGCATACACGAGTGTTATAAACTGACTTACATTTATGAGCTGTAAACTAAAAAGTTGTCTGGCAACCCAATATATCTTGCCATCAGAAGACTGTGATTATGTGTCAGATAGTGGGAGTGGAAATTGACTGATTCATGGAGTATTGGCTGCAGGCATTTGAAATGTAATTATTACTGCATGGAATTTTTTGTCCTTTGCTTATTCAGGCAAATATATTAACATTTTCTTTACCATGCTGTTGCAGACACAACAAAGTGCTGAAACAAGGCATGTGCGAGCATGCGAGGGTTCAACCCTTAAACTTAAAGGCTGAAACCGTACACATCATTCAAAGATAGCCGAGGGAAAAAACAAAAACAAAAAAGTTACTTTCAGTAAGATTAGCTATGTTGAAAAAACAAAAATTGAAAAATTAATTCTTTGGCAATATCGTAGATGACAGAATATCCTAGGAGTAACAAATAAACCACTCTACGCTATTGAAAATCGACTAGAACTACCGAGTGAATTTTTGTTGAAATGTAGAAGTTGGGACCCGTTTTACAACTGAATTGTCTTTTAAGTAAGAAAGAAAAGCGAGTGCAGTAGCGATCGATAAAAGTAAAGCAGGTGATAAAGATGCCGGAAACAAAGTTATAGAAGCATTCAACTCCGATGGGCATTCAATACTAGCGTGTAAGCTTACTTGTCAAATCGAATGAAATGACGATTGTCTTGCGGTAGTCATGTTACCTGACATTTAACCTCGATTTCTTGAGATCTGAGACTCTCAGACACTACAAAATTCTACGATCGAACTTGATCTGGTTCGACAGACAAATCTCCTATGAAGTACGTACAGCTGTAAAATCTAATTATACTAATATTCATATTTTTAGACTAACCAGCATAACCGCTTGTTCTTGATGTAGTCCCACCATCCAAACCTCGTTCAAAGTTGCTCAAATGTAACTCGAAGGTTTCCCAAGGATAGTGAATGATTATGTTTAGAATCACTCACTTCAAGTGCTTCACCATCGACAGAGAATTTATAGAACTTCCGTCAACAAATCCAATATCCAAGATGGCGGACAATAGTAATCTTGTTTATTCGTGCCCAACCTCCTGTCATCACACGGTCGTTGGGTGGACACCCGGGGGGGGGGGGGG